CTACAAAAATATGGTTAACGTGGATGCAGAAGCAACATCTACAGGTGGGCCCTAAAGACCTAAAAGGAGTGAAACAACTCTTTTCCCTCCCTATCATTTGCAAAGTCTAATAAATTGCTACTTACCATTTGGATGAAACATTTTGGATAAGAACCTAACAGTTGGCGGTTTATTTGGATATTCTTCAGAAAATTCTATTACTAGTTTAAAAGTACCTAGAAAGAAAACAAACCAAAATAATTATAGTAAAGACAAGCACAACTTTTTATCTCTTCATGACTTAATTCTCAACCCCATACTGGTTTTTGAACAACCACACAAAAGTAAGTCAACTTTGGTTTAGCACACAAAACATACTAAATATACTTTTAGACTAATACGTGGCATTGGCAAGCTCTTGGGGAACAAGCACTTTCATGTGCTATTGGTAAAAATGTTAACTGTCACATTTTTGGAAGGCTTCAATTGGGCCTTGGCTACCAAGACTTAAAAGTCCACAGTTGAGGAACTATGGTTTACTATAGCTTAGAAGTAGAGTGCCAAACAATTTTGAGAGGGGCTGACTACCACATGGTAAAGAACCCAGATTGGAGGCATAGGTGCTAATGTGAAAGATTGGTTCCATCTCCATACCAATCCCTTCATGTGAATATACCAAGAATTATTAAGCTTTAGTGTAATTGCCTACTGTTGGTTATCAGCCAACATAGCACACTTTAGTCAGTATAAATCAATATTTACCAGTCAATAGAGATATAGGCATTTTAAAAGTGATACATTTAGGGCTGGCCTGTGGCTCACTTGAGAGAGTGTGGTGCTGATAACACCAAGGCCACGGGTTCGGATCCCTATATATGTATGGCTGGTTAGCTCATTTGAGAGAGTGTGGTGCTGACAACACCAAGTCAAGGGTTAAGATCCCCTTACCAGTCATCTTTTAAGAAAAAAAGAAAAAAAAATTATACGTTTGTAACCAAGTCAACCCGTTCAGAGTATACAAAGACGTTAATGACTCAACTCCAATTCTATTTCCTGAAAAAAATAACTAATACTAATGGTTTCTTGTTTGTCTTTCTAGACTTCTTTTATGCTTATGTAACTATCCAGAGCTCTAGTATTTAGAGGAAACCCACCCGAAGGTTGGAGAGGTCCTCCAACTATAATCCCAGACGTACTTCATAGGTTGGGACTTATTCCTAAAGAAGTCAATAAAACTTTAAACCATTCTAGATGTCTCTACAAGGTTCATTCCTTATTTCATCAATGCATTTAAAAACAAAACCCTTTTTCAGTCTAAATTCTAAGCTCTTACCAAGATAAGAGTCTCATATTTAGTAACTATTTTATATCTTCACTGTTCATATATTTGGTATACAACCTCCACCTCTTTAAATTTTTTTGTTGTTGCTGTTGCTTGGAAATTTGGGATTAGGGAGGCCAAAGATACAAGCAAATCACAGGCAATTTCTATTTCATATTTTGGTATATATTAATATAATAAAGGTACTCTGAGACATACAGTTAATTATTAAAGCTAGCCTTATGCCTAAAGTTCACATTCGAATTTTCTTTAATTACAAAAACAACAGCTGCATAATGTATAATTTCAGGCAAACACATTTAAATATGAAGCAGCTATCCTTAAGCTTTTTTTTTCTTCCCCTTTTTGTCTTTTTTACTGACCGGTAACAGGATCGCAACCCTCGGTGTCGCGCCCATACCGGGGACCAGCAACGGGATCACAACCCTCAGTGTTGTGCCTGCACCGCGCTCAGCCAGTGAGCGGGAACCGGTCTCCACATGGGATCCGAACCCTTGGCGGGAGCGCACACTCCCAAGCGGCGCACGCTCCCAAGCGGCGCACTCTCCAGTGCGCCACCGGGCCGGCCCATCCTTAAGCTTTTTGATCTCAGAATTCCTCCATAGCTAAACTCCCAATGTGAATTCACTGAACATGAAGCTGGGAGGAGATACTTGCAGTAGCATACCATTTTACAGTATTTCTACCACAGAGATACAAACAGGAATAACCTCAAGAATACCATAAACAGTACAATGTAAAGATCCCCTTACCGGTCAAAAAATAAAAAATAAAAAAAAGAGATTATAATTTAGAAAATCTTAAAATATTTACTAATTCATTAAAAAATAACTGTAAATCCACTATGCATTAACCTAAATAACCTAATTAATGAAAAATATATTTCCCCCAAAAAAGTTAAGTGAGAAGTGCAGCATTATTTTACGTTTTTGCAATTCTTTTTTTTTTAAAAAGATGACCAGTAAGGGGATCTTAACTCTTGGCTTGGTGTTATCAGCACCACGCTCAGCCAGTGAGTGAACCGGCCATCCCTATATAGTATCCGAACCCATGGCCTTGGTATTAGCAGCACCGCACTCCCCCGAGTGAGCCACGGGCCGGCTCCTATATTTTTGCAATTCTGATGATTGGCTTAAAAGACAGCTGGATTCTCTTATTTGCTTCTGCACTCCATCTGTTACAATATGCTATTTTGGTTGAAGTACATGAAGAAAATCCAGCCTCACACAAATATATAATTGAAATAAGGAGTGTTTTCATAGACTTTCCAGATAACTGTAGATATTCTTTTGTGATATTACACCAAAGAAGAAATGGTAGTTTTAAAAAGGTTGTTGCAATATAAAATCTGAAACCATATCGATAAGCTGTTTGTACTCAGTTACACTAAAATATGTTGCAATTTGCATAAATCTTCCATGATTTTGTAATATTATGCATTGGTCATTTGGAAAATACTGGTTCATTGGAGTTATACAGATCTCCCAAAAGTTGTCATACTCCATTATATACTATCAAAAAAAAAAAAAGTCACAGTAAGTACATCACCTACTAATCTCATCAGAAAAGTCTTTTAAATATTCGGAAGCTGTCATTTAATCATCAGCAACAAATATCTTCAGTCACTTTCCTTAACCTAACAGCTCTCTTGTCACCTTGAAGAATATGTCTGCCATATATTCAAACCTGAATAACCACAATTTGTCAGCCATTCTCTCAAGTAAAAATGTCCCTTGAAAAAAGCACTTGTTCAAGTTGCAACACAATCAATTGCAGAAGTGCTTTTCTTCTATACAACCATCATACCTTAAAATGCAGAAGTGCTTTATTCGTACTTCCCACTTCAACACACAGAATATTAAAAAGATGTTATACTCAAGGGTCAAAATTTAGTAATACTAATAATTTATACTGTTTCATCAAGGCATTTTAAAGTAAAACTGGCACCTTTTAAAATGCAAAGAATACAATGACTCTTAGTACAGTTTGGTGTCACTGTCTTTATTTGTTCTAAGATGCTAAACTGCTTGGATGCAGTTTTAGCCACCACTGCTTTTATACCATCAGTACAAATATCAACACAGTCTTAGTATGAAGACAGTTTTGGTCACATGAATCTTGTGAAAGGGTCTCAGAGACCCTAAAGGGTTTTTGGACAACAATTAAGAATCCCTGGTATAGAAAAAAAAGCTGAAGCCCTTAAGTACCTCTTTCAATTCCTCACTCCTACCTAGTGATAATTACTGATAACGGTGTGGTACATAACCTTTAAGACACACACACATCTGTGTATTTATTTAGTAAAAATGTGATGCTACAACACTCATAAATTATTCTGCAACTTTTTGGTCTACTCAGACATGTGTCCAGATCTATCTTATTCTTTAACAGGTACATAATATTCCAGAGTCCAGATACATCATAATTTGTTTAACTATTCCCCCTAATGGGCATTCAGATTTTCTCCTCACAAATGGTGCTACAGTCAGTATTCTTGCACAAATATCCTTAATGGGTTAATTCTGAAGACATTATGATAATTATAACAAAGCTATTCAATAATTTTTTAAAAACCCAAGCCATAATTAGGAAAAATCTATATACCTGGCTAATCAATTTGATAAACTCACTTATAAACACATAATAGAATAGGTTTCCCATCTTCCTGGCTTCTGGTGAAAATACCCAACTTGAGATGAAAAAGCTTATGCTGAATGCTAACTACTTATGGGTATTAAGTGTTAATAGCTACTGACAGCTATGTATGTTTAAGAAAAACTTCAGCTCAACACCTTATTAATATGGACAACAAGGCAAAAAAGAATGATTACACCTTGTGTTTACCTCAGGGAGATCTTCATTGTGCTACATGTCCACCTAAATTTAAACTATTCCCAACACAGACCCCGTACCATCTAGGCTTACAGTTCTACATGCAAACATCAAAGTAACAGAGGAAACTGGCAATGGAGGTGACCGAGCTGATGTGGGAAGAAAGTCTTTTGTAAACCGTAAATTCTCAGTAGTTTTATTTAGTTTTAACTTGGCCTTTTAAGAACAGAAAATGGCTTCAAATAGATTTGTTGGTGTTACAATTTTCTACTTAAAAACCACCTTAGGGGCTGGCCCGCGGCTCACTCAGGAGAGTGTGGTGCTGATAACACCAAGGCCCCGGGTTCGGATCCCATATAG